GGCCAAAAAAAAGCTCGACAAGTCAGAGCAACATTAAGTCCATGTTGATCTGTTTTTTTGATATTGACGGGATTGTTCATAAGGAGTTTGTCCCTCCTGGTCAGACAGTCAATAAAGAGTTCTGTCGCGATGTTCTAAGGTGTTTGAGGGAGCACATGAGGAGAAAACGTCCAGAGAAGTGGCGCACGAACGACTGGGTACTCCAGTATGACAACGCACGACCGCATAGGCTTACATTGTGCAGGAATTTTTGGCTAAAAACAAGATGGCAGTTGTTCCCAACCCACCGTACTCACCAGACTTAGCTCCATGCGACTTCTTTCTCTTCCCCAAGATGAAAATCAGTTGAAGGGGCGAATATTTGATACAGTTGAGGAAATTCAAGTGAACACACAGACGGTACTAAACACCCTAACAAAGAAAGACTTCCAGGATGCATTTGAAAAGTGGCAGAAACGCTGGGATCGGTGTATGCGCTCCCAAGGGGACTACTTTGAAGGTGATGGTGCAGAATAAGATCCAGGTAAGACGTAATAGTTTTTATTAATATATTTCGGGAACTTTTGGATAGCACCACGTACTGCCTGGAAGACGATCTAAGTGTAGATGGGATAATAGTTAATGAATCTTAAACAAACTGATTTGGTGGTAAACAAAAAATCCTTCAACCTGTCCTTGTTCTTAAATACTTACGCACTACGCCATGAAGGCAGGCGTATGAGAGAGTGGATGTATAGATCCAGGTATTCTTGACCTGGGCAATAGTAAGGGGTGAGTGGTCAGCTTTACCTCCGGAGAAATAGCCCGCAGTACCCACTGGATAAGGGACTGGGTGGGCCACAGAACCGGTCTGGACAGCCACTCATTCCTCCACCTACACGTCACTACGTACTCGTGTGAATGCAGCTCCGTTACCGCCATCTCCAGTGCAATCTGGCGCGGCAGGCGACCTTGCAAAACTTTCTGTCGGACGGCGACATCCTTTTGCCTTGTCACACAGTTGCGATGAGAACAATAGTTCCACAGACGTGACGTACGGTATTTGTGTGAAGAACTTCACACGTGATAGCAAGAGTTCTCCCCATATGTCTGAGTCATGGCGTGAATGCTTTCGTTGCCTTGATTTAAATTAATGCAATAAATTTGAACTGATTGATTTGTCCTTCGATTTAGTGCGCTGTCCGAGGGACAAGGTCGCCCAAAAAGAGGCAAAATAACCTTTGCAGGGCTTTCTAATAGCAGTTTAATTTTCACGGCACTTAGATGCATACTCATAACACTGCAATATTACTAATGTTATATTTTAGCGTCCTGTTGCACTGATTTAAGTCCATGATTTATTTAAACCGTCTTGCAGTGCATACACTCATTTATCTCCTTCTCTCCCTCGCACTACATGTTTCGGCATAATAATGCCATCTTCAGGTGCTTACTTATCCACGCCAAACTAGTTCATTGCATGCCTTGTTCTCATATTAAAATAACTAAAATATGTATCTATCATATACATTGTCAAACGTTAAAAATATTAAAATTGTTCAGGATACCACATCACTACGTCGCACCTCACTACGCCAGTCACGCCCATTCTCCTCTGTTGGAGCACTCCTTCACTATCATGTGTGTGGTGTGCTTTTGTTGTGTCTTGCTCCTGTGACTGCGTGTGAGTATAACACATGCGCGCACGTAGCTAGGACGCTCAGTCTTGGCACGGTTGCCGTTAGAAATGGAGCTCCCGATTACTAAAACCGCGAAGTGTGAGATTCGCGCAGTTATTCGGTTTTTGAACGCAAAAGGGACTAAACCAATTGAAATTCATCGTCAATTGGTGGAAGTGTATGGCGAGTCGTGCATGGACATAAAGAACGTCCGCAGTTTGTGTAGGGAGT